CTGTATGCTGGACTGGATAAACTTCTGGTATAGTTCATTTATGTTATTGAATATCCCAGGGAACAAACTCATGAAACACTCCTTTTGCTCACAGAGTAACTTATTTGAAATGTCTACTGTTTGTAAAATAAATAAAAATACACTGTAGTGTTTAAATACAACTTGTGGTCAGTTAGCCATATGTATAGTGAAAGAAAGTGCGTATGCACGTTAAGACTTTTCTTATTTCATTCTGCAATTTACTACTGTTGGAGAAGGGTTTTGGTAGCAACATCTGCTCCTAAGATTCACAGTTTCCTTTGCAAGATTCTGTATTCAATTGCTTATAACTCTACTAAATGTGAACTGTTCAGATTAAGTGCTAAACCTTTTGCAAATTTCATTTTAATTGAACATACTCAAGTTGTTCATGCAGCTTTACCACAGACCACAGCAGCACATGACCCCACATAGTTCAAGAGCTGCTGTAGGACTTTCCTTCTCGTACCATTTCCTCTGAGGTGAGGCTCTGAAACAGGAGTCTCTTTAACTTGTCTTTCCAGTGCCTCTTCTCCCAGGCAATCATAGGAGCTTGTCTTGTTTCAAATGCATGTCAGTGTGAGAAGAGCCAGATGCAGGTTACTGAGGGGCAAGGTGACTAACTGGAGAGTGGGTTGGGGTGGAATTTAGGATTGAAAATTGACAGGAAGGAAGATAGTGGAAAAGCCAGAGTCAGGATAAAATTAAATCCAACTGAAGTCTGCAACTGCAAGTCAGTAAGACAAGGAAAGAATACGGAGGGGAAGGAGAAAGAAATACAACTAAAGAAATGAAGTACAGAGAGAGAAAGGTCACTGCTTAGGAAAACAAGCTGGGGTAGACATGAAAATGTTTTCATTAGAAGCATAAGCAGAAGTACTTGGATCCAGTAGGGATAAAGAAATGGGATAGGAGAGGGAGTAGGACAAAGCAAAGACAGACGCAACCAGGAGTTAGTGGACATTTGAGATGGGGAGGGAATTGTATGCTTGAAAACAGTTCATAATTTCTATATGGAAATTGTGGTACAAATAAATGTGATGTCAGAATGTTTTTCAGACATCACTGACTCCACCCCTCATCCTCCAATATTACAGAGTTTTACTCTCCCCAGTTTATAGTGGAGGGATTTGGACACAAATTGATCAACATATGAAACATTCATTAATTTTGGGTACGCACTCTGAGATATCCAGCAGATAATTTTTAAGGGAGCTCAGCATTATGTGTGTTTGTAGCGGAACTCCCCTTGACTTCTATTTTATAGTCATGAAGGTTTAGCATGTCTGAAAATCAAACTCCAAGCTCTTAGCTAATTGCCTAGAAAAGACAGAGCACACAAGAGTTGAAGAACTTGCCCAGTATTGCATCATATTATCTCTGTGGTGGAGACAGCAGTACAATCTAGTTTCCCAACGCAACAATCAACTACTCAAATCGTGGGAATCTCTCCTTGCCCCTATGAAAATGCTCACCTCCCAGCACAGTTTCCAGCTTCTTGTAAGAACTGAGCAGGAGTCATCAGCCAGCCTCCTTCAGGCTAAAGTGTTTTGTCCTGGGAAACAGAAGCGAGCAGGTCTCTGCTGCCATCTGTCAGTAACTCAAAGAATTGGTGGAACAAGCAGATGTCGGTTTCAGGGTTAACATCTGTGTCACTGCTAATATTTCGGTTGGTTTGGTTAATTTCAGGTTTTGGGAAACAGGCAGGAGAACATTATCCTATTTGCACTGCTGTAGGAGTCACAGAACTGTACTTAATATATGCTGCATGGCGGTTTAGCTCTGACTGGCAAATGAAGTTGGTTTATCTTGGGAAAGCGTTAGCAATTTTTCATTTCCAAATGTCCAAACTGTCTCTTGGAAGTTACTGGTCCTGCTGCAGAAATATCTCATTTCCTCTCTCAGCTGCTGCTCAGCCACCACAGTTTACAGCCTTATGTTTTAAGATAAACCAAAAAAATTAGAAACATTTTACCCTAGAGGATCAAACTCTAAACTGTCCCTGGTGGTCTGTGACTAGTGAAGCCATGTGTGCAATGAAGATGGAAATCTCTGATGATGAGGCTGGGAAGGCATATAATGGTAGAATCAACTCAAATTATCTCAAGATGAGATACATCTATTTGTGAGTCAGAGCCCATCATCCGTAAGTAGAGAGCCTTGCATGTGAACAACGTTATAAGGCTTGTATTTTGTAGGAGGGTGGTGCATTGTCTGTGGAGGCGTTGTCTGTGCTTGAAAGTCGTTGCATTTGAAGTTACAGCAAGGGGTGCAGGGAAAGGAATGCCAAAAGGGAGCATCACATCTCAGTGTGTTACAGTGCATGTTGCAGAATAGTCTGAAGTCCCAGATTTTGCTGGGAGATTGTGGGAGCTTTGCATTCAGATTTCAGGGGTGCAGGGAGTAAAAGAAGTGAATGGACTGTGATGAAAATGCCCCTTGTACAGTATGCAAAGGTGTCATACAGAGTGATTTTGGGCCAGTCGACAGACAAGCTTTCCTGGTGGTTACCCAGGCTCTAAAATTAACCAGAAAAACAGGCTTCCTTCACAAGAGCAAGGCAAGGAAGTGAGGTGTGAAAGGAACCCCCGAAATCATCCTACTGGGAGAAAGGGAAACAGACAAATTACTGCCAAGATCCTGGTGAAGCAGACATTTTACTTGCTACTTACATATCCTTGATTCCCTGTGGATGAATTTCACCTAGTTAATGCTATGATCCCTCTTTTAATAATTGTTCCCTTTTCTATATGCACTGACTCAGTGCTTCCAAAGGGAAAGTATGGCTTTTCTTTAGAACTCAGGAAAAGCTTTTTTTTTTTCTTTTCTCCAGCTTCCTAGGGAAAGTCAAGTCAGTCAAACCTGTTTTAGATGGTAATTTTATGAAAAACCTGAACATTACTGCTCTTCATAATAGCTGGCAGAAAGGTTACAGTTACACATTTCTGACTCATCTTAAGAAAAGGTTTGTGTTATGCAATGGAGGAAGCAGGGGCACTTTGGGAAAAGTAATATGCGGTCATGTAATTAAGGAATTTAACAGAATGCATGTGCCTCAGAGCAGAATTATATTGCATTGGCAGCCTTAATTATATCATTTATTAACCTTAATTGCATGATTTTGCCTCCTTTAAATTATTATTTTAATAAATTTCCTGTACATAGTTTCAGTGAATTATAAAATCTATTTTCTAGCTGTTTCATCTTATGAATTATTAAAACAATATGGAGCTAGGCAGATGCAAACAAATGCTGTATATTTACTTGATGTAAATATATACATCAATATGATTGGTCTTCTGCATAAATAATTAGCATTATGCAAATATATGCCTATAGAATATGTAGCTACCTTTTTATTTAACCAACTTCAGCATTTTTTTCTTAATAGGTAGATGTCTTCTAAAGAATTATTAATATTCACACACACATTAATTTACCACTGCTACAGGTCAGTTGAATCAAGTTTATACAAAACTACACAATTCCATTGTGATGAAATGACATGCACAACATATCATCACTCACTCATTTTACTTCTGCCATGCCCAAAATGGGATTGCAACTTGAAAAGTCACTGGCAGAGTCTTTACTTTGCCCAGTTCAGAGGAGAAGATATCTTCCCATGATCTGTCCTATATCTTTCATCAATCTGTTTTCTTTGCTTTCAAAATTCCAGTTAGAAACATCATGCCCTGCTCCCAAGAAGCATCAGAGAGTGTGAGATGACACATTTTTTTCTTTCTCTACCCATTCTCAGTTTGACAAAGAAAACAGATAAGGTATATTCTTCAAGTAAAAACCTTTATCCTGATTACAGTGAAGTCATTTGTGCTTCATCTGTAGGTGTTTCTCTGCCTTGACAATATAAAGGAGTCTTTCAGTTGAGCTTTGCTAGCACACTTTGCCTATGGCCTGTTGAAACTTGAATCACTTTTTCTAGCCAAAACAAACTCTGGAGCATGCTGTGCTGATTGTAAAGGGCAGAGGTGCCAATGGAGTTTTACATCGTCATTTATATTCCAGCCTCAGTGTAGGTGGCTTGTGAGAAGCAGGAGGGGTTTTCTGAAGTATTACTGATGGGTCTTTTTGCTTGTACTGTAGTATTTTGGTCTTCGCTTGGGGGCACTGGCTGGATTAAGCGTCCTACCTGGTACAGGTCTTGAAACTCCCTTCCCTGAAGGTCTTAGATCTAACTTGGTGCAGGGCTAAGTCTGACAAACTTATGCTCCTACATAAAGTTCACTTGATAACTAGTTACAGAAGGTTATGAGTTCTTAGTCAAATTCTTATTTATAGGAGTGTCCACATAACAAAAAATAGCAAAACAATGGGGTCTAACTTGTCCTCTTGTTGGTAACCTCAGACAGGCACAACATTGAATTGGCCACTTCCTTTTCCTTTTTTTTTTTTTTTTTGCCTTCAAAAAAGGGTCTCTGAAGCATAAGATGAGGAGCAACGGTAGTAGCTCTGTAGCCATCCAAGTTGCATTCACAAAGTGAATTCCAGCAAAGTGGTCTCTGAAGTGGATAATCAAACATTTTTCCATGCAAAAGAATTAAACCAGTTGTCATGTGTACTTTCCTTTTCACCATCTTTTGAACTTTGTTTATAACTTTTGAAGGGGAGGGGAAAGAGAGAGAGAGGGGAGGCAGCCAAAAAGTCCATTCTCCTCCCTTTTCCCAAAAGTCATCTGATTTCCCGAAAATCGCTGATATAGACCAGATCTGCATACTGTCTCATGCAACCTGAGCCAACAGAATTGTGCAACTGGTTCTGGAAATTCCCCTTTCTGTCGAATGCTGGTAAGCAGAAGTATCTCTTCTGAACAAGAAGGCTGGAAAGGTACATCCTACAGATAGGGGGTGCTGTAATTGCAAATTAGAGCTGTATTCCCTAGATCTCAGGCTTAGATATGTTTGGAGGGTGTGAACAGGAACAGAAAAGAAAAAGAGAAAGAGAGAGAAGGGAGAAGAAAACCAGACACAAGCTAGAGAGAGAAGGTAAATATTGCAAACATTAGAAATGAGCACGGAAAATATTTGTGAGCGTTGCTGTGTATGTGACAGCTAGGAGGGACAGGACATACATTCCCCCAACCCCAGGGTCTTAGCATAATTTTGGGGATGCTGGGAGGAGTGAACTGAGTATCTAGGTGTGTGGGGGGGAGGGATTCTTGCTATCTTAATTTGCTATGAATGGGAATGCATCAGCATGGTGTCTGGGGACACTGACAGATATAGGGGGAGAAGGGAGGGTACTAGTGACATGATAGAGATAATCTCCCCATTTTGTAAGTTCTGCTCAGCATCTCTCCTTGATGCTTGGGGTTGCTGAATGCACGAATAAATGATGATATAAAACTTGCTTTTGAGGCAAATCATTGGCATATTCCCCACGAGCTGAGGTATTAAGATCTTTGACCCGCCTACCAGACACACAGAAGAACAGACAACATTAACCAATCACACTGTTTTCATCCCAGACTATAACTCCAAAGTCCAGTTCCTGATAGTTTTCAGAAATGAAGATCAGCTTTTTCCAGATGTGGTGAGTTACTGAATCTCCAAGGGGAATTCTGGTTTGTTAATAATTTCATTTTATCAGTTAGATGTCTTTCCTGTAGTATTGTACTGATTCTCAAATCTGAATGTGCCTACAGAACAAGCCACCTCCAAAGCAAGGAAGTGAAGTAGGGAATAGCTTTTAAGGCTCCCCTATTCAGCTCCTGCAGCATTCCCAGCTTCTAGAGGGCTGGAGAGTAGAGCAGAGAGCAGAACTGAGATTGTCTCCCTTTTTGTGAAGGGCTACAGAAGAAAGAACAGCCTCATGCAGCCACAGCATTGGTCATCAAAACTCCAAACGCCAGGAGTATGCGCTGCACACTACATACAGCCAAACACCAGACTTTTCCCTGAAGACAGAGAAGACCTCTGTAATGTCATCTTCCTTCCTCTTTTCTCAGGTGCCTTATCCTCTTCTGTCTTCCTGTCTGGGCTGATGCAGCCTCCATGTACGGTGAGATCTTGTCCCCCAATTATCCTCAGGTGTATCCCAATGATGTACAGGAGTCTTGGGAAATCGAGGTTCCCCCAGGATACGGCATTCACCTTTATTTCACACATCTGGATCTTGAACCATCGCAGAACTGCGAATACGACTCTGTGAAGGTACTGTCACCCATCCATCCTCATATGAGAAAAAAGACAAGAAGGTGGGGTAGAGGGCAGAAGAACAGCAAAGCTGCGTACAAGGCTCAGGGCTGGAAGAAGAGATACATCCTTCTGGTTCCAAGCCCCAAGAACCCCAAATGATTGAGCATATCTGCTCTAGTAGTGGTTAAGTGGGTTTGAATTTTGCTGCATAACCACATGAACGTTGTCTGCCAACTGAGTGTCCTGTCTATGCTCCTGTCTCCATGTTTATCTTATGTCCCTAGGAAGAGCCTTCCTCACCATCACTAACGTGTCCCTATTGCCAGGCATATTCTTAACTAGTGAATTATGTGTATAAAAGGACCATTTACTTAGAAAGGGCATCGATTTTCTGTCCCTGAAATTTTTCCGTTGGAGTTAATCCATAAGTGGATATAGACAATTTAATGCAATCAGAAATTGGTTGGAAATCATGAGAGTTAGAAACAATCAAGAGATCAAGTGGGTGCTGAGATGAAGTGCAGTGGTCTGTTGTCCTGAGCTGTGCACCACAATGTTCTTAAAACTTATAGCCCGAATAGCTCTGCACCATGTTGTCACACAAGGCGCTAATGATCAAGCATTTCGATGCAAAGAGAAAGGAACAAGACTAGCCTATCCTGCAATGGCTATGTTCAATAGGTTCAATAAGATCAGGTGCAGCACCAAAAGGAAACGTTGGGAAAGACCAAGCTGGGTTTGTAAGATGGATGTGCTCTAGCAGGAGCTGTAATAACCTGTGTCTTTTTGCAACAAACTGATGATGAACTGCTCTGCAGACCATCAGGGATCTGCTTCACAGCCTTAGCTGCGGTGTTATATTTTGTACAAACGGGCCTCAGAAAAGGATGCTAACAGAAAACTTTCTGGATTAATTTGTATCTGAAAAATTAAGACAGATATTTCAGAGCTGGAATGTCAATAAGAAGGAACACTCCTCAAGCATCTTACAAATGGCAAGAGACTGGTTTTCCAGGGGTACCATTCAGCTGTAGGGTCTCAGCAGTCCCTGCTGGCTGTCTTCCACCCTTAATTAGCTTTGTGGATCACACAGCAGCTTTGGTATGAGAATGGCCCCTCCTGCTACTTATGTGACATAACTGTGCCCTGGGAGATCTACCTGAATGTCCTGAGAAACGCATGCAACTTTGAAGCCACTGGTTGGCCACTTGTAATCTGAAGGAATCAGATATTGATTGTAAGCTGAAGAAATCAAATACTGATAATTACACATATTCCAGTAGTGAGATAAGACCTCTCTCTGCATCCTTCTGCAGATCCTGTCTGGTGTCCATGTTGAAGGCCTGCTCTGTGGGCGAAAGAAACCTCGTGTCCCTGGCTCCTCAATTGTGGAGGAATTTTATGTCCCTTATAACATCCTGACCATGACCTTCCAATCTGATTTTTCCAATGAGGAACATTTCACTGGTTTTGCAGCCTACTATGTTGCAGTGGGTAAGGCTAGAATAGCCTCCTCTGAATCTCTGTGGTATCTGGGACTAGGAGCGGGAGGAAAGCTAACAGGAGGGGTTTCCTTACAAGATTATTTCATTTAAAAGAGATCCCAGCAGGCAGGACTGCTTTCCAGTATTACCAGTCCAAATGCTGCCATAAAGATCTCTTTTCCTCGTTGTCTGCTAGTCTTTACTTCACTTTGCCATCTTTATCCTGCCTTCAGGGCCCTTTCCTCTTCTTGGCTGACTCATCTTTTCTTTTCACATTTGCAGATTTGGATGAGTGCACGGATTTTGTGGAGGAACCTTGTAGTCATTACTGCAATAACTATATTGGTGGTTACTTCTGTACCTGCCCACCAGATTATTTCCTTTATGAGGATAAGAAAACATGTGGAGGTAAGGGACCTACACACATCATGGTCAACAGCAAGAGCTAATTTAGGCCGAGCGGGATATTGTACTTGGAAGACCTTCTCTATCAACCCTTGAACCTGTAGTGACAGATAATGCATCTTGGAAAGAACAACATCCCAGTGCAAAACCTGAACTGGCAGTAGATCATGACTTTGGGAATTTCCACTAATATGTTCTTATTTTTTGTGTCAAGAGAATTAAGAAACTATTACATAACATTCTCTGAAGACTGTGATGGAGACCCTTCCTAGCATACTGCTAGCTGTGAATCTTTTAATCCCTGAAAAAACAGGGCACTTCAAAGAAGGTGCCAAAATGGCCAAGGAGCTGCTTGGCTTGAATCAAAAAGTGGCAAAGTCACAAATGGGGCATGTTGAAAGGGGTATAATATGAGGACCTGAGCATGAGAGAGAGAGGCCCAAATCACAGGTAGAAGGTAAGAGAAAAGATGGAGGGAGAAAGAGAAGACACTAGGAGAAATTAAACAAGGCAGCAAAATTAAAAGATGTGCTGAAGTTGTCCCCCAGTACTGAGGACTTCAGGAAGTTGTCTTCCAAAGGATGGGCCAGATGTACCATTGCTCAGCCCACTGTGAGTTAAGGACCCTGGCAAATTGGATGGTGGCCCTGGTTTCAGTTTCTATGAAAGATGCCATATTGCGAAATGGTTAATCTAGGTGACTGGGGAGATTGGATATGTAGTGAAAGAGGGGATGTTTATTTGCTTCACACATGAATAAGTTCTTTTCTGAGTCCTACCTGTGTTCCTTCCTCAATCCTAGTGAACTGCAGCGGGAATGTCTTCACTGAGCCATCAGGAGAGATCACTAGCCCCAACTATCCCAATCAGTACCCAGAGAACTCGCGGTGTGAGTACCGAGTGGTTCTGAGGCCAGGCTACTTTGTGGCATTGACCATACACAGTGGTGACTTCGACGTGGAACCGGCTGACTCAAAAGGGAGTTGCCACGACAGTTTAACAGTAGGTGTGGGACTTAGGGAGGGGAGTCAGCATGCTCTGGGTCTCCCCCAATCCTCTCATAGTCAGAAGATTCTCTGACTGCTTAACCTTAATTTCAACTATGCTGCCTTTTAAAGTTCTTGGGAATCTCCCTCTTTCTATCGATTCCAATCAGTATTTCTCATTTCTTCCTGTTTTTTTTCCCAGCTTGTCTCTGGAGAACAGCATTTTGGTCCCTACTGTGGCAGCAAATTCCCAGGTCCTCCAGAAATCAAAACCAGGAACAATATTCTTGACATAATCTTCCAAACAGACCATGCAGTGCAGCGCAAAGGCTGGAAAATACGCTACCATGGGGATTGTGAGTGAACATGTGGGAAAGCATTTTCTTGGCTGCTGAGTCAGGGAGAAGGTTTGTCCCAGGAGGTCAGATTCATGGTACAACAGGATGTTAAAAAGGTTCGCAGTTGCTGGGTTTGCTAGACACAGCTAAGTGGCTATTGGCTAAACAGAGGATGCCTGTTAACTGGTGAAAATAATGACTGGGGAGAGAGAAGTTGGGAGTTGGAAGGAGAGTAAATCTCAAACCAGTTAATCACTGATGTCCTCCTTTCTCTCCAAAGCCATAACCTGTCCCCAAACTGTAATCCCCAACGCTGTTCTTGACCCGAAGAAGGACAGGTATATCTTCAAGGACAATGTGAAGGTGACCTGTGTGGAAGGCTATGAAATTGTGAGGGTAAGTTACACACAAAAGCACACACGCTCTCAGCCTCTCTCAGCTGCGTCCTGCTGCTGTTTCCAATCAGGTGTTCCAAGCACCTTTGGGACTCAAAGTTTTCACCACAGCTGTAATAACTGGGAGCTTCTTCCACCCACTACAGCACTTTAAGGACCTTCCACTGGAGTGCCTATTTCAGATATGTTTCATTGTCAGTGACTGACATGGGTCATGTGTTCTTTTCCCTAGCAACGAGACAGCCTAATGACTTTTCACTCCAGCTGTCAAGACAACGGTGAATGGAGCAACTCTCACTTCAGCTGTGTTCGTAAGTGACCCATCCCCGTATGGAGGGAAGCAGTTTGGAAGGGGGTCTTTATGCCCTAGACCCACTTTATTTCCAGACTAGGAGGAAGGTGAGGACTGGGATATGAGCACACTGAAGGGGCAGAAGAAGTAAGCGCTGACGACCACACAGGGACCAGAGGAGCTGAATGGTTCCCTACCCTACAGAAAAAAACCAAATGGATGGGTGGGGATGCCCCTTTGATTATCTTTGATCATTTCTGCTTCTTCTCTACAGCGGTGAACTGTGGTGAACCTACCCCTATTGACAATGGCCAAGCCATATACATCTCTGAACTTCATGAGCCTCTGTATAAAGCCGTTTTCCGCTATCACTGTGACGCACCTTACTATACTCTAAAAACTAAAGGTGAAGGTAGGCATTGCCTGTGCTACACAAACACATTCCTTTAATCAAAGGCCTAAGAAAAGGTACTGGCATCATCCTGGGGCTGAGACCATATCCCTACAGGCTAAGATTGGTGTGGGGTTGCAGCCAGTAGTTTTGTGTTGCATTTTTGTTTAATGCACTTTCGTAATGTCCATAATGTACTTGGGCTGTTGATCTTAAATGCTGGCAATGCTTACCAAGCTGTGCTTGCTTTGGACATGAGAAGGTCAATGCATCAACTTATACAGTAATGCTACTTATCCTCTCTTGACCTCGAGCATATCTTTATGGCAGTCTTTTCTCTTATGTTTTCCAAGCGGTGTATCAGTGCTCAGCCAATGGACTATGGGTCAGTGAAGAGATGGGAAGTGAGCTACCAAAATGTGTTCCAGGTACTACCATAAATTGTGTATGTACGCATGTGGTGTATGAAGACCACTGGTTCTTTCATTTCTCTGTTTTTAAACTGTTAGGCCTGAAATAACAGTTGATTCCTTCTGTGTAGTTTGATTCATATTGGACAGGGTATTTCTGAAAGCTGTGAGTTCCTAAGAAAGATCAGTGGAGACAGCAGAAAGAAACTGGTAAGAAAGGTGGGCAGCTTGATAGGATGTCTGATATAACAGGACCTCTTCAAGTGCTGGTGTGTACTTCTGCACCAGTTTCCCCACCTTCAGATGTGCATATTCTCAAGTTGTTCAGAGCTCTGTCTGTTTTGCAGGTAGCAAAAAAACCTGACAGATCAAAAGAGATATCCAACAATGCCATACTGGACCTTTCCTTCTTCAGTCCTTCCAAGCTACACTGAGAGCTGTAGCTTCTCTTCAAACTCCTCCTGGGTTCCGCTGTCCACTGGGCACT